GCGAGCTGCTGCTGGCCGGTGGTGTGGTGCCAGGCGTGCCAGGGAGGGTGCGGGTGCGGGCCAGGGGAGGGTGGGGGTAAAGCACGTCTTCTGTGAGGTCCCACAGGCAGAACTGCGTGTCCTGGCCGGCCGAGCCGAACCGGTAGGTGATGGAACTGGCCTTGGGCAGTGGGGAGAGAGGGGCTCCCCCGCCCGAGCCTGTGCCTGCGGCCTCTGGCTCCTCCTCCTCCTCGCCGCTCCGCTCCCCGTCGCCACTGGTTGCTGCCGCTTCCTCCGCCCTCGTGGTGTAGGGGTCGAAGGCCACAGCATTGACCCAGGACTTGTGGCCGTGGCCTCGGGCCACCACGCGGCCCTCGGTGAAGGACCACACGGTGACCAGGTCATCCTCCCCACCGGTCACGACATAGCGGCCATCGGGGCTCCAGCACACACAGAGCAGGCCCCCAAAGTAGCTCTTCATGAGCCCCCGCAGGAGCATGGAGTCGAAGTGGAAGATGCGCAGGCAGCCGTCCTGGCTGACGCAGGCCAGGTGCCGGCCGTCGGGCGAGAAGGCGAACTCGTTGAGGGGCCCTTCGCCCACTGCCCACTTGGCCAGTGGGTTGCGGGGCGCCTTGCTCTTGGCGGCATAGACGGCGAAGCCCTCGCCCTGCTTCAGGAGGCTGTACTGGGGTGGCGCCGAGGCACACGGGTGGCTGACGTTGTACAGGTACAGGTGGCCACTGGCGTGGGAGGCCAGGAACAGGCTCTCTGACTCGGGCAGCCACTTCAGATATGTCACCTTGGTTTTGTCGATAAGCCGCTGCAAGAGAGACAGCGAGGGTTGGGGGAAGGCAATCCTCCCCTGGCTGACCTCCTCCCCAGTCCCAAGGAAGGGATCTTTGTCTATTCCGGTCACTGTTCTAGCCCCAGAGCACAGAGCTGTGCACGCAGGAGGTGCCTGGAAGTACTTCCCTGACACATGAATGACAACCCCATCCTGTCAGCTGCACAGCTTTGCTCCTTTATTCCCTCACAACTCACATCCAATCCTGCAAGAAATCTTCTGGGCTCCATCTTCAAAATCTGTCCAGAACTTGGCCTCTTCTCAGCCCCCCACTCCACCCCCGACTCCAACACCCTGGACTCAGCTGTCATCAAGCCTGCAACGGCCTAACTGGCCTCCAGGCCACCACTGCCCAGGTCTCTTCTCTACCCAATTGCCAGAGAGATGCCGTTAACACGTAAGTCAGCACCCCGCACGCTCTCCCCGACGCTCGACACCAGGGAAGCCTTTCTCCAGCACGACTCTGGACAGAACCAAGCCCTTAGGCATCCATTGTCTGTAACAGATTAATTTCTTTCCCAGGTGTCTAAGTTGCTTTCCGTTCTCCATTCTCAGGAGAATTTAGAGAATAAGCAAACTGTTTCTGTGTTCTATGGCTCTGATGAACCCCAGTGGTAAGAGGCTCTAAAAGCCAGTATTTTCCATGACCTTCCAGACCCTACGTGACCTGGACCCTCCCAATTATTTCCCAGAACTCATCTACTTCCCTCGCCCTCAATGCTGCTGAGGCCACATGGCCTTTTTGCTGTCTTACATCAGGCTTTTGTCTTCGCTATTCCCTCTACTGAGAATGTCCTTCTCCCTAATAACCTGTATTGCCTCCTTCTGGTCTTTATTTCCACTTCCTTCCAGTGAGCCCTTTCCCAACCACCCTATTTAAACCTCACCGAGCACTCCCCACTCCCCTTCCTTCTGGACCTTTCTCCATGGCACCCGGGCACACGGCATGCTTAGTTATTTGATAACTATGTCTCCCCCAGCTAGAGGAAAGCCCCACAAAGGCAGGACCCTGTGTCAGTTTTGTTCACCAAGATGTAATATTCCCAGGGATTAGAACACTGACTGGCAAAGAACAAATTTTGGATAAATATCTTGAGAATGGATGAACGCATTTTTAATCCATTCAGTTTCACTCACTCCCCTCTACCACTCATACATTCTGTGTATCTGGAACACCTTCTCTGAACAGAGAGCAAGAGACAGAGAACAAGCGTAGTCCTGGACACAGGTAAGGTCCTTCACTGGCATTTCCCCTTGTGCCAGGTCCACCTAGGACTGAGCAACCTCCATGTATGATTTTACAACAGTCCTGGGAGGTAGGGATGAGAAACCCATTTTGCAGAAAAGGAAAACTGAGGCTAAGGGAGGCATAGTCACCTTCTCAATGCCACACAGTGAGTAAATGGTGCAGCAAGGATTTGTATCCAATGCCCACAGGGCCCAGAATTTGAAGAACAAGGGCTCTGGTTTCAAACAAGTCCCAAACAGGGTCTAACCTCAGTTCTCTAACCTACAAAATGGGCATCACAATCCCTAACCCACTGGTCGATGGAAACTCCAGAAGTAGTGTGTCCCGCACGGGGCTAACACAGCACGGGGCCTCATTACTAGCTGTCATCACAGTAGCTATCTGTCACACCGTACCACATATCTATCAGTCCATCCCCCACCTCACCCTCATTCTGCCCCTCTCAGGCCTACACTGCTCCTCCGGTTGCTGCAGTCTCATGGCAAACGGGTGGGTGGGAAAGGGCAGCAGCTCTGGGTGCTGGGCCCCCAAATCACCTCCTCATTGAATAGCTTGCTGGTGTCCTTCTTGATGAGATCCAGGTACTGCACCTGACCAGCTGAGAATCCCACCAGCAGGGAGATGGTCTCTGTGGCAGCAGTGAACTGGTTGAAGTCGTGGCAGGTGGGCTGGGTGCCCTTATAAATCCTCTTGTCAATTGGCTTGTTGAGGTCAATGGACTTGAGTGGTGGGAGAAAAGGAGTTAATGGTGTCTACCACTGAGAGGAAGGAAGAAGGTTGTTGAGGTTGGGGGAAAACCACTAAAAGGAAGCAGGGTTAAATCCCTGAGGGAAGTGGGTAGGTGGATGGGTGAGTGGGTTGGGGGAAGGGGCAACCACAGACAGGAAGGAGGACCCAAATCAAAGACAGAGGGAAAAAACAGACAGGAAGGTCCCCGCCCTGCCCCTCTGCCATCACATGAGATCACAGTGCCTTCTCCCCAAAGTTGGAACCCCCCAACTTCAGGGAGACCCTTGCCCACAGTATCAGGGTCCACAGTCCCCATAGTCCCTGAGCTCCAATTCTTTTCTAGTCCTCCGAAAATTCAGCAACTCTCTTGGGTCTTAGCACCACAAGTCCAAGCCCCCCAAAACTCAGAATCACCCAATCCCCAGAAATCTAAACCTCGTCCCGGGATTCTCTTCACTCTGGAGTCCCTAAATCTCAGGATCTCCATCACACTTCAGGGACATAGTAAACCTCACAGTGCCCCATATTTCAGATGACTAAATCACTTCTACGCTCTCAGGATCCCATCCTCACTTCTGGCGACCATCATAAACTCCAAAGGTCTCATGTCCTCTGGGACCTAAACCACTTTGGAGACACCCATCACACCTGAGGATGTCCCTTCTGGGCTTTCATTATCTCCAGATCTCTCATCAGCTCAGAGATTCTCATTTCCTCCAGGATCCCATTACCTCCAGGATTCCATTCACCTTTAAGCCCCCCATCGCCTCCAGAATCCTCATCATCTCTGGGCTCCCCAAGTTCCTCCAGTGCCCCCAGACTGCATTACCCCTGGGTTCTCCATCCCTTCTGAGTCTGCATTACCTCAGGATTTCCCATCAGCTGCAAAATGCCTGCCAGCCAGAACCCTGGAGGACTCATACCATCTCAGGTTCCCCATCAGCTCCAGAATACTCCATGCATAACCTGGAGATCTCGCATGATCTCAAGGTTTCCCATCACCTCCAGGATGGCCAGCACCCAGGGGCCCTCCCATTACCTTTTAGAATCCTGCCTTACCTCGAAGAACCCTTTTCCCCTAAGGCGTCCATCACATCAAGAATGCCTATCTCAGGGCTCCCTACATTTGGGGACCTTATCACTTCTGGATCACCTCAGGGATCCCTATCGTCTCATCCAGCACTCAGTCCCCACGATGCAGGCCGCTCACCCGTTGGCTCCCGCGGCGACAGCAGCCCGGGTAGAAATAGAGCTCGCGGC